TATTTGCAGAGAGACTGAGACGCATGATTTGCACAACCATATTCAAGACATCAAAATGTTTAATGGAATAGGCAAATCCATAAAAAAAATAAAAACTTTACACCAGAACTTGGAACAGGATTAATGTACCTATCGAGAATGTGACTTGTCCCCTACTGAGTTACTGACAGAAGGACTGGTTAAGAGTTGGTGCAGTAGAAGTCAGGACATCATAGTGTCAACTTTTACACCTTCCTCATTAGAAAGCCAGGACAGAAACTGCCACAACACAAGGAAATTATCAGAAAATTCCCTAAGAACTCTTTGTAGCTGCCTGGTCATATTGTGGCTATGGTTGGGAGGCTGACTTCTCCAGCTGGTATTGCACTGCAGCTCGTATTTCTGGGTACTGAGCTCTACAGCTACCATCAAATGGCATTAAATGGTTTACCCAAATCAATAAGGTTACTGTAATATGTACTCCATAAACATGGAGAGAATCAGAGTTCCTGATGATAGGCATACGTTTTCCATTCCATTCTGCTACATGAGCGTCTGTATTTAAAAAAATAAAGGAAGCTCACAGTGGTCTTTTTGGAATCTGGAGGCAACAGATTCTACACCATGGAATACTGGTCAGGCCCGCCATCCAAGTGACATGGAGTCTTCCCAGCCTTTAGTGGGACCCAGGGCAGAAAAGGGCTCTGCAGCAGGTTCAGCCTGCACTGTAGGCAACACTGTCTCTTGTGCCAGTGCAGATACAGATGACTTGCCAAAGCTCTCAACCATGTGGGCAGGATTGACACTGAGAGAACACTCCACCACTACAGCAGACTCCATAGCCATTTTAAAACATTAGTAAGACAGATCATGGTTAGGGTCACAGGATATTTCAAAGAAATTAAATCGATTTAAATCACACAAAATAAAGTTTCAGAAGGCAAGGGAAATTTACTAGGAATCAATGACAGAAAGCTATCAGAAAAAAATCTAAATATTTTTAGACTATGTAACATACTACTAAATAAAGTCTGGGACAAAGATGAAACCAAGAAATGGACATTTCAAAAAATTTGAAGTGAAAGAAAACACATTATCAAAATTTGTGGGATGCAAGAAGACATTGAATTTATAACCCTGAATTTCTAGAAATATTCATGCATTTTAGAAAATAAATTTTCAAGCCAATCCCCTGAACTGCCACCCTGACATGCAAGTACAATAAGAGTAAATTGTGCTCAAAATATGTTATTCTTAAAAGTGTGGGCATATGATGAGCACATGTCCAGTACTGCAGCAAAGAAATCACATCAGCCTGGAAATAAAAATCCACATTAGCAGCTTCACAAGAGAAAGTGGATGGGCAGGGTGTGTAAATGTGCAGAGAAAACTGGAAGATAGGAATAGTGGAAATAGAAATCGTATGTAATATTAATATGGGCTGTACATGTTTGAGACCCCTGTGAGCTTTGACTTGCTCAAAAGGATAAATCATGCAGTGCAGATAACTTTCCATCCTCCAGAGGGTTGGTGAGAGTGGGGTCATTTGACAACGGGAGGAGGAAGTGCCCCGAAGGTCATCAGAGGCAGCAGGTGAGGTCACGACCCACTAGAATCCCCCCTCCCAGTGACATGAACGAGCATCCCTGAAGCCATGAGGACAGCAGGGAACTTCATGACTGCTCCAGAGAGGACATGGCAACCACTTCCTGGAGAATATGTGGGGCCTGAGCACCCTAAGTTGGGAGGAAGGGAGAGGCTCTGGGAGGCTTCCTGGGGGCCCTGGCCCTGTTCGCACAGAAGTGAAGCCCATGCCTGTAAGTGAGGACTCATGGTCTCCTCTTCAAAGGCTCTCCAGCCGTCTTCACCATCTTCTCCAGCCCAACTGCTGTGGGCTCCATCTCTGGGTGCTGCAGTTGCTGGTACTGCACTGAGAGGCTGAGCCTACTAGGGAGGCTGTGTTTGAGGCCCTCAGGCTGTGCAGGGTCCTGGTGAGGGTTCTGCTCACAGGAGAACGTGCAGCATCTCCAAACTCCAAACTGGTGCCTGTGATGAAGAAATGAATAAAATTTTGATAGTACGTGTGTTCATACTTGTTGAGATGTGTGAAAATATACTCTGGAGACTTGTCATTAATATGGTCTTATACACCACTTTCTATAAACCTAATTTTTACTGTCTATGTGGTCTGTCTGGTTAAAACTACAGATTTAATTATACTTGTTATGGAATCCATTATCTTTAATAGAAAATCATTTCTAATATAACACACTTCTTTAAATCTGGATTACTTTATCCCATTGATTGTAACAATGTTTTACTTTAGTCATACCATGCCATAGCAGGCAAATGACAGGCTCATTACTAATTCACAGATATTCATAGAGTACTATTTTAAACTGACTCTCTGGAAAGCGTATATTTTTTATATCACTATTACAAGAATGTGGGAATCAGGTTTATTTCCAAGTACTGACCAGACACAGTAAAAATAATATATTCCATTTATTGTTTGAAAATATTTTCCTTTTTTTGAACAAATAGTACCAACGTAGTCACTTCTAAAATTTACTTGTGTTAAAACAATGGAAGGAATCTTCACTCTCAGGTACAGTGAAGTAGATAAAAGTGGAAAGGCCAAAACAATCACTGCAAAAAGTACAAAACTTTCATTGTTGAATTGACACACCTGACTTTTTGTCCTCCTGCCACAGTCGCCAAGTTTGCCTATGGACACAAGCTCTGACTTGGCACAGGCAGAGGAGCTCTCCTG